TTGGTTTCATTCCTTCACAACATCAAAACCAAACAGTAACAAAAGCTTATATCAGCCAATAAGGATGCAGCCAGTTGATGACTGCATCAGTATCTACATGTGTTGCTAATAGAGTAATTACGGTACAAACCAATAGCGCCATCGTCTGAAGCATGGCTCAGATTTATTTTGGTCGGACTGTAATCCTTCAGAGGGGATGGCAAATCCTTTAACCTTGTAATTTGTGACAATTATTGATGAAATGTCTGTGGAGCGGTGCATAAGGATGGATTAAGAAGCAATTGCACAGGAACCGTGGCAAAACGATGTAAATGGGCCAATGGGACATCTAACAGAATCTGTTACACAGCAAATTGTGGCAGTCAGTTTAAAATCCAACATGGTATAATTGGCCATTTTGGGTCTAAATTCTAACAAGAGAGTTATCTTTCCTTGACAAAATTATGTGCCGGTACTGACAGGTTTTCGGCCTACTGAGAACAAAACCAAATTAGAAAAGGCAGCTGATCCGTCACTTTGAAACTGAGCTTCTGATGGGAACTGTGTCCTTATCTGTGTTAGGTGAGATTTAAAGAATTCAGCTGCGGAGAAGACATCGTAACAGATGAAGATTTCCCGGGTACGGGGGGATGGAGGGTTGTGTGGGCTGCTGGCCGAGTCCGATCACAGACACCAATTACTGTTCCTGACATAAGCACCCAGCTATTATCAGGCCGTCTGATAAAGTTATGAATATTTTATGGTCCATTATTCATCTCCTGCTTCGTTCTCCTGGCAGACTCACATCCAGGCCGCCATGAATACACTGCAATCGTGTGTGGATAAACCTGACCAGAATACTTATTAGATTTTGGGAAGCTAAGTGTACAAATTAATCTCTGGAAATTAAGCCTTGTAGGATAACCAGTCTTAGATCACCTGACCTGGGAATTTCTTGGCTTCATTGTGGAGTATATAATTTCTGTGACCTCCATTTGTTTGTTTGTTTGTTTGTTGTTAAACGCTGCACAGTTTGGACCAGACAATCCAGTGATTGACATCATGAGCATTAGTCCACACAATTGGGATACGATGACATGCATCAACCAAGTCAGCGAGCATGACCACCTGATCCCATTGGTTGCCTCTTACACTAAGCTTAGTAGCCTTTTACGGCAAGCATGGGTTGCTGAAGACCTTTTCTAACCTGGAACTTCACGGGTACAATTTTATTCCTATCATTAGAAAAATATCAGCATATGTCTATGTTTTATCGTTTGAACATTTTTTTAAATGTATTTTTACATCATTAACTGTACTTTTTGCTGGAATTAAGGAATAAAGATTAAGTAACATGAAAAATGAAATATGTAGCCCAGTCGTAAAGAGGGGCAGTGGTCTGAGGCATTGCATCCCTATGCAGAGTTACATCCCTTAGCCTTGGTAGGATCAGCTGACTTCACCTCAGTGTGGTAAACATCTAGACCTGCACCTTCAGACTTTCCTTTCACATGATGAAGTTGACATGCTGTAGCTGACATTCTGTAGCTGTCATGATGACTGACAGCAGCATTAAACTCACACACTCACCTTCACCTTTGAAACCATACCAAGGTCATGGTATCAGTTCGCACTGGACTCATTAATGTTCCAATTTCTTGCTGACAATGCACCCATTCCTTCTGACTTTTATATGTTTGAATTAAGATAAAACTTCATTCAAGTAAACTTCAGTGTATGCATGACCAGATCGCTTTATATGTGTATCTAAATACATTTTGCCAGGGCTACGGTCAAACTTTTCAAAATCGGACAGTTTGTACCTATCTTTAGATATCAACAGTGGGTATCTAGATAGGGTCAAGTAATAGGGTGATGGGTACCCGGGTAGTAAATGTGGACTTGTCCCAGCCCTATCTTCTACTCCAGGGATTTCGGATTATGATTGGTCCCCAGCAACCTATGCTCATCGTAAGAGGCGACCAAATAGATCGGTTGTCTGTCTGGGTGAGAAAACCTGACTTCGGTTAGTGATATAAAGATGGTGACGGATCTGAAACAAAACTGTGTTTTTTAATAGGGCTGGCTATCGATATACCGTATTCGACATAATAAGCGCCCAGGCTGCTCTCAAAATTAGAAATAGGGGGCTCTTATTAGAATATTATTTTGGTGAAAAAATAGGGTCAATTTGTTCGATATTTGGTCGAATACGGAAGATTATAGAGAGCGATAACTGCTAACCATAATCGATCAAGTATCCGTAAATATTGGAGGAGTAACTTATGTATATGAGAAAGTCCCGAAAGAAATCAACATATTTCACTGGTGAGCAGTGACACATTTATACATAGACATTTTTTTAGACATTTGAGACATAACCAAAACAGTTTCATTCCAGCTTTGACAATTGACATTTTTGACAAAAACAAGTCTGTTTGAGTAAATCTCAACTTTATTTCATCACAATAGTTTATGTAAGTTATTGTCAATGACATCACTTTCATTTTGATAATCTTGCGTCCCCTGGGCACGCCAGAAACCTATGATTTTGGGTTCGAATCCTGGTTCGCCCTGATTATGTTTCTAGGTTTGTCAGCACCATACCCATGCTCGTGGGTTTCACCGAAGTGGTAAACGTCTAAGACCTGCATCACTTCTGGCTTTCCTCCCACATTAAGCTGACACGCCGCTATATAACTGGAATACTGTTAAAAGCGGCGTTAAACCCAACTCACTCACTCACTCACTCACTCATTTTGATAATCATTAATAGTTCTTCCCATCGATGATAATCCTGATTATCAATCTTTTTAGCCAGCCCTAATGATTAATGGGTAAGGGACTATAACATGTTGGAAAATGGAGGATGTACTTTCAGTGGTTGATGACAATGTAGAAGGGGTCTTTTATTATAGGAAATATGGTGTTGATGGCGATCCTGACTTTACACAGGAAGTCAACAGAGGTAAAGAGAGTGAATTGATGCCGTCAGCATCTCTTTATAGTCCGCTCCAAGGCAGAGAAAACAGACCAATTTGACATTGACAAACAGTTACGCCTTGAGGCATGTTTGTAGTGTTGAGAAATCAATGGACAATTTACAGAATTGGCGAAGTGATAATGGAAGGTGTGTCATATTGTGCTATGATTATTGTGTCATATTGTGCTATGATTATTGTGTCATACTGTGATGTTATTGTGTGGTATAGTGATATTATCGTTGTAATTTGTGCTAAATTTGAATACATGTTATTTGTGGAACATGGGTTCCCAAGGCAATTCCGTATAGCGTGTTATTTTTAAAAATTTAATTACTGTAAATTGTGAAATTAATGTGTCTCCAAAAGAATGAGACCGCTGGCCCCTAGCCAAAAATGTGACTCAATATGAATGCGACACCCCCTCCTCTCAAGCATCAGTGGATTTATATCTTAAGAAAATACAGGAGAATCCTCACCTTAATCCAACCTTACATTAATCCAATCACACACCAAATAGCACCGCTTATTATCGCTGTGTAGAGTACTTCCGCTAAAACAATACACGTGTGCTGGCTAGTGTCGGCCTTTGACGCATTTGCCGGTGTAATCAGTGATGACATGAGTGAGTAGAACTATAGTCTTGACCCCAGCAGTGACAATTCACAGCATGTAATTAGTGTTTGAATGACATTGTTTATATACTTGTTACAAGTGCTGCTCAATAAACAGTGATGTGGAATACATAGTTGTTTTTTTCAGCGTATGTCTAAGTTGATATTTCTGCTACCCAAAATGTCTTATTGTTGATATAAATGTGATGTTTAATAATGCGAGTAAAGACCACTCGCATTTTTCGCATTTAAATCACGCTCGTTAATTTCAAGATTTACAGTATATATTGTTCACCTGCTTCCGGTCAAGCAAAGGATATGATACAAGATCCTGACACTCACAACCAGTGTGTTAGAGCTTCAGCTCACCTGTGTGATCTAGTGAAAGAGTCTTGTCCTTCAAAAGATCTTTCACCTATGAGGCAGGTGTTGAGTGGACTTCACTTCCTGTAGATTTAAGATCACTCTGTACACTGTCAGCTCAAGAAACGGCTTTGGAGTCATCCCACAGATGACATCCTTACCTTGCGAGCTTGCTGATGGTGTAAACCTCTTTGGTCATGTGGACAAGGCGTCCGATGTTGGATCAGAAGGTCCAGGGTTCGAATCCCCTCACAGGACTCTGAAATTTTATGGCTGCTGCATTTGGAGAAACTTAAATGCATGAATCAATCATCGCTTTGAGTTTGATGATCGACTAAGCATCGGGGGGCTTAGCCCTGATACTGATCCTAGGTTGGTCAACACCTTGTGGGTTTCAGCAGTATGTTGATAATAGTCAGGGAATGCTGTTATTGGTATTGGGAACACTGTTTGTGGTATTGGGAACACTGTTGTTGGTATTTTGAACAGTGTTGGTGGTATTATAAACACTGTTTATGGTATTGGGAACACAGTTTATCGTATTGGAAATACTTTTGATGGTATTGGGAACACTGTTTGTGGTATTGGGAACACTGTTGTTGGTATTTTGAACAGTGTTGGTGGTATTGTAAACACTGTTTATGGTATTGGGAACAGTTTATGGTATTGGAAATACTTTTAATGGTATTGGGAACACTGTTTGTGGTATTGGGAACACAGTTTATGGTATTGGAAATACTTTTAATTGTATTGGGAACAGTGTTGGTGGTATTGGAACAGTATTGGTGGTATTGGGGAAACTGTTGATGGTTTTGGCAACACTGTTGGTGGTATTGGGAACAGTGTGTGAGTATTGGGAACACTGTTGGTGGTGTTGGGAACACTGTTGATGGTGTTGGCAACAGCGTTTATGGTATTGGGAACACTGTTGATGGTGTTGGCAACAGCGTTTATGGTATTGGGAACACTGTTGATGGTGTTGACAACAGTGTTGATGACTTGAATGGTTATAAAGTGTACATGATCCTCCATCTGTTCTTCAACTTCTGTGTTCTTCTTCCAGGATATGGTGCTGGTGGCATTTGGCCGGCCCGGTTTCTATGTGCTCACTGTTCTGCAGTTCCTCTACCCCTTTATAGGTAAGTGTCATCTCAGCAGGTGTCACATGTGTGGGGACTTCTTGTGTAAGCCTGGCAGGGAAGAACAGGGTCTTAATATCTGCCTGTGGTGATGTGTGCTGTCTCTACATGTAAGCCTGGCCGGTATAGAACAGGTCCGGTTATCTATCTGCCTGTGGTGATGTCATGTAAGCCTGGCTGGTATAGAACAGGTCCAGTTGTCTATCTGCCTGTGGTGATGTCATGTAAGCCTGGCTGGTATAGAACAGGTCCAGTTCTATATCTGCCTGTGGTGATGTCATGTAATCCTGGCCAGTATAGAACAGGTCCAGTTCTATATCTGCCTGTGGTGATGTCATGTAATCCTGGCCAGTATACAACAGGTCCAGTTCTATATCTGCCTGTGGTGATGTCATGTAATCCTGGCCTGTATAGAACAGATCCAGTTCTATATCTGCCTGTGGTGATGTCATGTAATCCTGGCCAGTATAGAACAGGTCCAGTTGTCTATCTGCCTGTGGTGATGTCATGTAATCCTGGCCGGTATAGAACAGGTCCAGTTCTATATCTGCCTGTGGTGATGTCATGTAAGCCTGGCCGGTATAGAACAGGTCCAGTTCTATATCTGCCTGCGGTGATGTCATGTAATCCTGGCCGGTATAGAACAGGTCCAGTTCTATATCTGCCTGTGGTGATGTCATGTAATCCTGGCCAGTATAGAACAGGTCCAGTTCTATATCTGCCTGTGGTGATGTCATGTAAACCTGGCCGGTATAGAACAGGTCCAGTTGTCTATCTGCCTGTGGTGATGTCATGTAAACCTGGCCGGTATAGAACAGGTCCAGTTCTATATCTGCCTGTGGTGATGTCATGTAAACCTGGCCGGTATAGAACAGGTCCAGTTGTCTATCTGCCTGTGGTGATGTCATGTAAACCTGGCCGGTATAGAACAGGTCCTGTTATCTATCTGCCTGTGGTAATGTCATGTAAACCTGGGTGGTATAGAACACGTCTGGTTATCTATCTGCCTGTGGTAATGTCATGTAAACCTGGGTGGTATAGAACACGTCTGGTTATCTATCTGCCTGTGGTGATGTCATGTAAACCTGGGTGGTATAGAACACGTCTGGTTATCTATCTGCCTGTGGTGATGTCATGTAAACCTGGGTGGTATAGAACAGGTCCGGTTATCTATCTGCCTGTGGTAATGTCATGTAAGCCTGGCCGGTATAGAACAGGTCCAGTTCTATATCTGCCTGTGGTGATGGCATGTAAACCTTGGTGGTATAGAACAGGTCCGGTTATCTATCTGCCTGTGGTGATGTCATGTAAACCTTGGTGGTATAGAACAGGTCCGGTTATATATCTGCCTGTGGTGATGTCATGTAAGCCTGGCCGGTATAGAACAGGTCCAGTTGTCTGTCTGCCTGTGGTGATGTCATGTAAACCTTGGTGGTATAGAACAGGTCCGGTTATCTATCTGCCTGTGGTGATGTCATGTAAACCTTGGTGGTATAGAACAGGTCCTGTTATCTATCTGCCTGTGGTGATGTCATGTAAACCTTGGTGGTATAGAACAGGTCCGGTTATCTATCTGCCTGTGGTAATGTCATGTAAACCTGGGTGGTATAGAACACGTCTGGTTATCTATCTGCCTGTGGTGATGTCATGTAAACCTTGGTGGTATAGAACAGGTCCTGTTATCTATCTGCCTGTGGTAATGTCATGTAAACCTGGGTGGTATAGAACACGTCTGGTTATCTATCTGCCTGTGGTGATGTCATGTAAACCTTGGTGGTATAGAACAGGTCCTGTTATCTATCTGCCTGTGGTAATGTCATGTAAACCTGGGTGGTATAGAACACGTCTGGTTATCTATCTGCCTGTGGTGATGTCATGTAAACCTTGGTGGTATAGAACAGGTCCTGTTATCTATCTGCCTGTGGTAATGTCATGTAAACCTGGGTGGTATAGAACACGTCTGGTTATCTATCTGCCTGTGGTGATGTCATGTAAACCTTGGTGGTATAGAACAGGTCCTGTTATCTATCTGCCTGTGGTAATGTCATGTAAACCTGGGTGGTATAGAACACGTCTGGTTATCTATCTGCCTGTGGTGATGTCATGTAAACCTTGGTGGTATAGAACAGGTCCTGTTATCTATCTGCCTGTGGTAATGTCATGTAAACCTGGGTGGTATAGAACAGGTCCAGTTGTCTATCTGCCTGTGGTAATGTCATGTAAACCTGGGTGGTATAGAACACGTCTGGTTATCTATCTGCCTGTGGTGATGTCATGTAAACCTGGCCGGTATAGAACAGGTCCAGTTATATATCTGCCTGTGGTGAATCTCAAATCTGCTTGGAAATTTTGCATAACAACCCTTGTCTGTTGATTAACTGTTGAAGTTTTATGATGAATTTGTTAACCATCAGCACAAACTGATCAAAATGAATGACAACAAATAATATTCGGCTCACAGATTTCTCTCCTGATTCTTCGTCAGTAATGAAAGCAACCAATCAGCTTGAAATGATTAACTGGAACAATAACACATCAAGTTACAATGTTAAGTTCACACAGAATAGGCTACTTGAAAGACTGACAAAGATGTAGTCCAAGATAAAAGGATGAAAATGTTAATTCAGAGACGAGTTCCATGCGGGGTCATGCCATCACTGATGACACTGTCAGGTAGTTGGTGTGCACAGCTGTTGCGTGGTTGTGTTGAAGTGACCTGCCATCTGCCATCTGCCATATACATATATTTATTTATGAGCTGTTGTCAACTAATTAGGCATGGTAGTAAACATGTGCTGTAAGTACACTGCTGTGTAAGCAGAGATTTATCCAGGGCCTAGATTTTCGAAACGATTTTAGCCCTAAGATTATCGTAAAGTTATCGTAAAGAAATCGTAGGCTATCGTAGCCTATTTTCGAAACTATCGTAGCCCTAAGATATCTTAAGTTTGTCGTAAATCTAAGATAGCCCTATACCTGTCGTAAGTTTATTTTATCCTCATCCAAGATGGCGGTATAATTTGCTCTGGACATTTTTCATGATGAAGATGACAATGATTTGATGACAAGACCGAGGATATTCCGAGACAGAACTCGTCCCCTCGATACGCTTGACGACTTCGAGCTATTCTCCCGCTACAGATAGGTGTCGTAGCTCTGAGCGATCTGCGACAGGTTTACGATTGTTTCGAAAATCTATCTTATCTTAGTCTTAAGATATCTTATCTTTGAACGTAAGTAGTTAAGATTTATCTTAGCTAAGATCGTTTCGAAAATCTAGGCCCAGGGTTCTAAACTAAGCGCTCCTAGCAGGCCAATGGGGAAAAATCATTATTTTGTTCCAAATTAGGATTTTTCTAAGTTCTATTTTTCGTTAATAGGTAGGCGTATTTTAACGTTGTATTTTGTGATTGCATTCAATGCAATAATATCTAACTGAGCAGTACGACTTCTTCCTATTGTCCTGTTATCAGTCACGTTTTTCTCCAAAGACATAAGATTAGCTATTTGTTATATGTATTAACATAAATTGGGAAACTTGGAATTTCATTTTGGGAATTTATAATGACATTTGAGGCAGACAAGGGGCCGAATATCAATCTCTGGGCTCGTCTACATGAATCCCTGGTTAGGCAGCAGAGTATTGCCAGATCATTGAAGGTGCATTACTAAACCGTTTGTTTGTTCGTTTGTTGTTTAACGCCGCACTCAGCAATGTTCCAGCTATATGACGATGGTCTGTAAATAATCGAGTCTGGACCAGACAATCCAGTGATTGAGATCAGTAGCATCGATCTATGCAATTGGGATATGATGACATGCATTAACCATGTCGGCAAGCCTGACCACCCGATCCCATCTCTCACAGGGTTCCACTGTTGGTTAGTGTATATTCATAGGTCCCAGCAACCAATGCTGGTTGTAACAGGCAGGAAGGATGGGTGGACACTAGGGCTGGGACGAGTCCAAATTTACTACCCGGGAACCCACCCCCATATTACCAAACCCTACCCGGCTACCCGTTGTAGATATTTAGAGATAGGTACAAACTGTGCGATTTGGAGACGTTTGACAGTAGCCCTGGCAAAATGTATTGAGATACACGTGTAAAGCGATCTGGGCATGCATACACTGAAGTTTACTGCATGAAGTTTTATCTTTATTCAAACATATAAAAGTCAGAAGGAATGGGCGCATTGTCAGAAAGAAATGGGAACATTAGTGACTTGTAGTGTAAGCATAGAGTTTTAGATAAATTTTGTCATTAAACAATATATCATGTGACTAACCACGGGTCCAGGTAGTCCTGTGGGTACCCTGGTCCTACTCAGGTCCACCCGACCCAAGTACCCGAGTTACCCGTCCCAGCCCTAGTGGGCACACTTGGTGATTTGGTTGATTGTGTATCGTACCCTGATCACATGGATCACTGCTCACAATAGTGCTTCCTTTATTGTCTGGTCCAGACATCAATTACAGTAAACTACATTTATAGCGAACACGCTTATAACCAACTGACGGATATAACAAACTGTTTTTTCGGTCCCGGTCATAGGCTGTATATTTTATGATTTAAAATTAATGGATATAACAAACACGCTTATAACGAACTGACGGATATAACAAACTCACTTTGTGGTCCCGTGTGCACTCTGTCTACAACAATGCTTGTGTTTCTAACGAACTGGTAATCTCCGAGTTGCTGACGTGTCACCAATCAGCCTATCAAAACATCTGTGGCCATGCGCGGCTGTTGTAGGCAGTAATTTGAAGGCAAGTGATTAACTGGATTAAGTACTGAAACCTTGTCTCATTTTACTCCCCCAATTAACAATAGTAAAAATTTTGATTAGGCTGTAGCTTTTGAAGTGGATATATGATGTCGATAAAATGTGACAACAAGAGTGAGGAAATTCAGTCAAAATGCTTATAACGAACTGCAGTTATAACGAACTAAAACTAGTCGTCCCTTTGAGTTTGTTATAACCATAGTTTACTGTATTTATAGACCGCCATCATGTCTTGAATAATGCTGTGTGGGGAATTGTATAATAAACAAACCAAAGTGTCTATAAGATTCTTAATGGTGTAGGGGTGCTGGGGTAGCCAAGTGGTTTAAGCGTTCGCTCGTCACGCCGAAGACCCAGGTTCGATTCCCCACGTGGGTACAATATGTGAAGTCCAATTCTGGTGTACCCCGCCATGATATTGCTGGAATATTGCTAAAAGCGGCGTAAAACCATACTCACCCACTCACTCACTTAATAGTGTATCACTGTATTGGTGAATATCCTTGGCTTCACAATATTTGAACGTTCAATTGCACATTGAATGGCATTAAATTTTATCTGTCAACTCAGCAACATGCATAAAAAGTGGATCTACGACCTACACAGCACCCACATCTTCCAGAGGGACACATATTAAAATGATTTTATTGTCTGCGTAAATGCAGAGAAATTTCTTCGTTCATCAATCAGTCAAGAATGTGATTTTCAAAGAACTCTCTAAGGGACTGGTGTGAACGCTTCATTGAGAAAATTAACCCATAATCTTGGAATCTGCGCTAGCGGGCTCCTCGGATCCAGTCCTCTGGAATTCATGCTCATTATATTTCCACTGTTTGGAAATGGTGCACTCTCCTCCTTTTGAATGATCAGGTTTTAGGGTAATAACTTCTAGTTTCAGGGGAATAGTATCTGCTGATGCAAGCCTATGGAAGAATAGATGACACAGCAATACGCATGTGGCTTGACTATAACAAAGCTATTTGCTGATTGAATCGTATGTTTTGTATAATAGAGTGTGAGGGGGCATAGCAAATGCTATTGCTTCACACGTGGTGTTATAAATGGGCTCTGTGATCGATTGAGTCCAGGAGTTAGGCATTCTAAGCTCGGAAGGCAATTAAGTACCATTTATGAGACATTTAACTTGTAGATTGGATTTGCAGTTCCTTTGGGAAATCATGTCCTGTGCTTTATCGGCTGTAATGTAAAAATAATTAAATAATTCAGTTTTGATAATTTTTAAAACTTTGATCTAATGTCCTGCTTGATCTTACCATAGCTAGCGGTGTCTGCACTTGTTTTCTTGTCTAATGTCGTACAAGACTAGATCTTACCATAGCTAGGGGTGTCTGCACTTGTTTTCTTGTCTAATGTCCTACAAGACTAGATCTTACCATAGCTAGGGGTGTCTGCACTTGTTTTCTTGTCTAATGTCCTACAAGACTAGATCTTACCATAGCTAGGGGTGTCTGCACTTGTTTTCTTGTCTAATGTCCTACAAGACTAGATCTTACCATTGCTTGTGGTGTCTGCATTTGTTTTCTTGTCTAATGTCCTACAAGTCTAGATCTTACCACTGCTAGCGGTGTCTGCACTTGTTTTCTTGTCTAATGTCCTACAAGACTAGATCTTACCATAGCTAGGGGTGTCTGCACTTGTTTTCTTGTCTAATGTCCTACAAGACTAGATCTTACCATAGCTAGGGGTGTCTGCACTTGTTTTCTTGTCTAATGTCCTACAAGTCTAGATCTTACCATAGCTTGTGGTGTCTGCACTTGTTTTCTTGTCTAATGTCGTACAAGACTAGATCTTACCACTGCTAGCGGTGTCTGCACTTGTTTTCTTGTCTAATGTCCTACAAGACTAGATCTTACCATTGCTAGGGGTGTCTGCACTTGTTTTCTTGTCTAATGTCCTACAAGACTTGATCTTACCATCGCTTGTGGTGTCTGCACTTGTTTTCTTGTCTAATGTCGTACAAGACTAGATCTTACCACTGCTAGCGGTGTCTGCACTTGTTTTCTTGTCTAATGTCCTACAAGACTAGATCTTACCATAGCTTGTGGTGTCTGCACTTGTTTTCTTGTCTAATGTCGTACAAGACTAGATCTTACCACTGCTAGCGGTGTCTGCACTTGTTTTCTTGTCTAATGTCCTACAAGACTAGATCTTACCACTGCTAGCGGTGTCTGCACTTGTTTTCTTGTCTAATGTCCTACAAGACTAGATCTTACCACTGCTAGCGGTGTCTGCACTTGTTTTCTTGTCTAATGTCCTACAAGACTAGATCTTACCACTGCTAGCGGTGTCTGCACTTGTTTTCTTGTCTAATGTCCTACAAGACTAGGTCTTACCACTGCTAGCGGTGTCTGCACTTGTTTTCTTGTCTAATGTCCTACAAGACTAGATCTTACCACTGCTAGCGGTGTCTGCACTTGTTTTCTTGTCTAATGTCCTACAAGACTAGATCTTACCACTGCTAGCGGTGTCTGCACTTGTTTTCTTGTCTAATGTCCTACAAGACTAGATCTTACCATTGCTTGTGGTGTCTCTGCCAGGGTTTTTTTTTCTAATGTCCTACAAGACTAGATCTTACTCTAGCTTGTGGTGTCTGCACTTGTTTTCTTGTCTAATGTCCTACAAGACTAGATCTTACCACTGCTAGTGGTGTCTGCACTTATTTTGTTGTCTAATGTCCTACAAGTCTAGATCTTACCATTGCTTGTGGTGTCTCATCCGGTTTTGTTGTCTAATGTCCTACAAGACTAGGGGGCACAGGTGGCCCAGTCGTGTAAGGCGCCGCGATTTGCCGTGCAGAGTTGCGTCCCTTGGGCACGCCAGAAACCTATGATTGTGGGTTCGAATCCTGGTTCGCCCCGATTATGTTTCTAGGTTTGTCAGCACCATACCCATGCTTGTGGGTTTCACCAAAGTGGTAAACGTCTGAGACCTGCATCACTTCGGGCTCTCCTCCCACATTAAGCTGACACACCACGATATAACTGGAATACTGTTAAAAGCGGCGTTAAACCAACTCACTCACTCACTCACTCCTACAAGACTAGATCTTACCATAGCTTGTGGTGTCTGAACTTGTTTTGTTGTCTAATGTCCTACAAGACTAGATCTTACCACTGCTAGCAGTGTCTGCACTTGTTTTGTTGTCTAATGTCCTACAAGTTTAGATCTTACCATTGCTTGTGGTGTCTCCTCCGGTTGTGTTGTCTAATGTCCTACAAGACTAGATCTTACCACTGCTAGCAATATCTCCGCCGGTTTTGTTGTCTAATGTCCTACAAGGCCTTACCATTGCTGAGGATGATTATAACCGTCTGTGGCACATGACAACAATCACTTCAGTAAAGATCAGTAAGTTTGTATATGGTTTTTGATGATGTTATTGAACCAGCTATCTGTCCTTTCAGCGATGGTGAGCTACAATGTCATCATCGGCGACACACTCACCAAGATCGTTCTGTGGTTTGGCGGAGAGGGTAAGTGACATTACTGGACGCTGCACTGGTTATACCTTTTACTCCTTTTCACACTATTCACTCCTATTTTCGAATTAAATGTTTTTGTTACTCCTGAGACTGAGGCAGAAAAGGTCCCTGGTAGCCCTTGTTTGTCTGGATCCTTGGGTAGAAAGGGTTCCCAGTGCCCCATGCTTGTCTCCCTGTGGGGAATCCAGGGTAGAACAGGTCCTCAGTAACCATGCTTGTCTCCCTGTGGGGAATCCAGGGTAGAACAGGTCTCCAGTACCCCATGCTTGTCTCCCTGTGGGGAATCCAGGGTAGAACAGGTCTCCAGTACCCCATGCTTGTCTCCCTGTGGGGAATCCAGATTAGAACAGGTCTCCAGTACCCTATGCTTGTCTCCCTGTGGGGATTCTTGGATAGAACAGGTCCTGAGTTCCTGATGTTAGTCTCACTGTTGGGATTCCTGGGTAGAACAGGTCCTCCGTACCCCATGCTTGTCTCCCTGTGTCTGTCTTGGGATATTCATGTTAAACTGCGGCATCGTGTCTAAGTGGGCTAGCACTATGAATCGGCATCAGTCCGGACACACGCATGCACACACATATGCACGCACACACCTATGCATGTCGCTACATAAGTACAATAATCTTGGAAGCGATGTTAACCCCATTTCACCTCACCTCACCGTAAACCCCTATTTCACCAGTGACAGATCCAGAAGATGTGTTGGATGTATTCAAGAGCTACACTCATCAATATGTTTCCTTGAGTGAGCTGAAATTGAAAACACCCAATTTTTGGAAATTAAACTCCATGAACATCGATCATTTTAGCAGTTTAAAAATTTCCAAGAAATTTTAAAACTAAATTTTAAAATTGTTATATGTTGTCATTGACGTTTTGCTATTTCAGAAGAGACATTAATTCACTCAGTGCTGGGCAACCGACAGTTTATCATCTTTATTTCAACGCTGATCATAACTCTACCCCTGTCACTCTATAGGAATATTGCTCGCCTCGGAAAGGTGAGTTATCTACCTTTATTCACACAGGATCGAGCTCCCCACACCAACAGACGATTTGCAGAGCTCTCCATACTATCGTTGCCACCAGTCACAGCTCCCCACAGTGATTGGCAGGCACAACCATGCATGGAGTTGAACTTGCAACCAACTGACTGTAATGTTTACAACTAAGCGATGACTGTTCTAATGCTGAATATTTTCTTTGTTTGTCAGTTTGAATTTCTGTTTCATTTCAACTAACATGGAGTTGGTGTAGTAAGAATTTAAAGAGGAAGATTGGTGCTTTTCCGTTAGTCTGCAATCTCGAACAAATATGAGTAATCAAAAACAACTCATAAATTCATCTGATAAAAATAGTCAGCGGTAATCCTTTTCCAAATGCAGAATGGTGGCATTCCCAATGCATAGAAAAATATAATTGTCACTACATTTGGGGTTGAAGGCAAATTTCAAGATTCTTGTAATGGCTGCTTGCACTCTGGTGGCAGCGATGTTACCAGGATTGTAACCAAGGTGTCAAGTGCTGGGGAGGAGCTTGATGTAGAATTTTAAATAATGACAAGCTTCAGCTGTAATGGGAATTGACTTCAGGAGAATTGTTATAATGGTGATGTTAAAGAAGAATTACAAAGTTAATTTCATCCTACAAAATTGCCTCCATTTCGTGCAGGAATATCCATCAGTTGAATGCTGTTCATGAATAATTTGAGAAAAGTTCTAAGAAGTGTTGGAAAATTATGGAAATATCGGCTCAGAATGAAAGTGGAAAGGAGTATTTTTGAAAATGACACTTGGAACTTTCTATAAATGCAGCCAGTGTTCACGAGTTTCATATTGAATTTGTGAAAATAATATTAAAAAATAACAGCTATAAGTGATGTGAGGTTCCAGGTATATTTAACATTTGTTGGTGTTTATCTTTACAGTGGGCATTTCTATCTATACTGCTGATTGTCTTCATCATGGTCAGCGTGGTCATCAAACTGGCCATCTTTGCCAAAGATATGTAAGTGTTGCACTTTGTATTAACCCGTTTGTAAATGATGATGATGATGATGATGATGACGTTTGTTTGTTATCGCCGCACTCAGCAAAATTCCAGCTATATGGCGCGGTCTGTAATAATCAAGTCTGGACCAGACAACCCAGTGATTGACATCATGAGCATTGATCCATGCAGTTGGAATACGATGACATGCATCAACCAAGTCAGCAAGCCTGACCACCCGATCCCGTTTGTCGCCTCTTACGATCAGCCTAGTCGCCTTTTACAGCAAGCATGGGTTGCTGAAGACCTATTCTACCCCATATCTTCACGGGTCGTTTTTTAAAGTACTGATGTCATTTTCACAGAAGCAGTTTTGATGTTAAACATATGTTTCCTGTTTTTCAGACCACCCACAGAGGGAGCTTGGCAGTTTGCGAACTATAATATCACTCAAGCTATAGGAATAATGGCATTTGGTAAATATTTTCAAATTTATTTCCTCACCATTACATGTTAGCCTGGCAACAAAATGTTCTCTTCTGCTGCTGATGAAGACAATACTTATTCATTGTTTCTCCACAAGATCTGGTTATGTAATTTCACACATCAGAATTTATGATGTGGAAACGTTGGCCTCTCTATTGACAGCACAAAGATGCTACAGTGGAGTCTGATCATGTACATATTTTGTATTTCTTTTATGACAAATTGTATAACCCTATACAAGTTCTGTTGTTACTAGATCAATGCATACGCCATGCAGGTTCTGTCATTGAAGGGTCGTGCTACATCACTAGATCAATGTATACGTCATGCAGGTTCTGTCATTGAAGGGTCGTGCTACATTACTAGATCAATCCATATGTCATGCAGGTTCTGTCATTGAGGGGTCGTGCTACATACCGTATTTTCTTGAGTATAGTGCGCACCCATGTATAATGCGCACCCCCCTCTAGCGGGTTCAATATTTTGGAAAAAAAGAAATTTGAATATTATGCGCAGAAATATTTTACACCGTACCCTTTCAGCGAAGTCCGGCAAACGAACGGGTGCTGAGAAACTTCGTCAGTACAAATTCGAAATTTGAGATAAAAAATCACCAGACATGTTTATTTACCGTTTAAATAGTATTTATTGTTCTGCTAGGCATTGTTTTATATTTAGGGATTAAGATTACCTTGCGTATTTTCTCGTAAACTAAGCTGGAAACAGCAATCAGCTGTACACACGTTTTCTTGGAATCGACCGGTGATTCAGTCAAGAGACACCCAATGATATAACTTTATAAGATTTTTAATGCAAGGATCGGCGACAATTGTATCTGAAACTATTTTATTTATCAGGAATAATATATTCCATTATTTTCTTAATTATATGCAACCTTTACTAAACATATTTAAAATAATAATAACCCTAAGCGAAGCAGCTGATCGCTATTCCCGGGTATTATTTTTTACATGGAACATGTCTGACCAGTCACCGTCAAGGCTCACGCGCACGTGATCACGTGATCGCGATAATTTCATGTTGACATAGAATCGTCAAACAAAAACAAATATGACTTTTAACGAGTCAAAGTATGTCATTTATGATATATGTATCGATTCTCTGTCAACTAAAGTTTGTTTCAAGGCATCAATAGCGGTATTCTGACCGTGGTTGCTGTTAATAACGGTGAGTTGTGCGATCTTCCGATCGCTTCACACACGATTTCGCCGAAATTAATAAAAACAATATTATAAGGAATTTTGAATAAAATCAATGAAATAAGTTACAAACATAAGTCCAGATATACAAAGAACACTTTTTATAGCCAGACAGTGTAATTACATGATTATTTTGCGTACTTCAGTATGGATTTGTTGACATGGTATTCCCGGTGTTTCATGCTCACGGTAATGTCTTTCCATGGGGGAAAAAAACATCCAAACTCATAATTCGTGTATAAAGCGCACCCCCTTCCACACAGCTGTGTTTTTTGGAAAAAAAGTGCGCACTATACTCAAGAAAATACGGTAACTAGATCAATGCATACGTCATGCAGGTTCTGTCATTGAAGGGTCATGCTACATTACCAGATTAATGCATACGTCATGCAGGTTCTGTCATTGAAGGGTCATGCTACATTACCAGATTAATGCATACGTCATGCAGGTTCTGTCATTGAGGGGTCGTGCTTTATTACCAGATCAAGGCATACGTCATGCAGGTTCTGTCATTGAAGGGTCATGCTACATTACCAGATTAATGCATACGTCATGCAGGTTCTGTCATTGAGGGGTCGTGCTTTATTACCAGATCAAGGCATACGTCATGCAGGTTCTGTCATTGAGGGGTCATGCTTTATTACCAGATCAAGGCATACGTCATGCAGGTTCTGTCATTGAAGGGTCATGCTACATTACCAGATTAATGCATACGTCATGCAGGTTCTGTCATTGAGGGGTCGTGCTTTATTACCAGATCAAGGCATACGTCATGCAGGTTCTGTCATTGAGGGGTCGTGCTACATAACTAGATCAATGCATACGTCGTGCAGGTTCTGTCATTGAAGGTTCATGCTACATTACCAGATTAATGCATACATCATGCAGGTTCTGTCATTGAAGGGTCATGCTACATTACCAGATTAATGCATACGTCATGCAGGTTCTGTCATTGAAGGGTCATGCTACATTACCAGATCAAGGCATACGTCATGCAGGTTCTGTCATTGAGGGGTTGTGCTATATTACCAGATCAAGGCATACGTCATGCAGGTTCTGTCATTGAGGGGTTGTGCTATATTACCAGATCAATGCATATGTCATGCAGGTTCTGTCATTGAAGGGTCATGCTACATTACCAGATCAAGGCATACGTCATGCAGGTTCTGTCATTGAAGGGTTGTGCTACATTACCAGATCAAGGCATACGTCATGCAGGTTCTGTCATTGAAGGGTCGTGCTACATTACTAGATCAATGCATATGTCATGCAGGTTCTGTCATTGAGGGGTTGTGCTATATTACCAGATCAAGGCATACGTCATGCAGGTTCTGTCATTGAAGGGTCGTGCTACATTACTAGATCAATGCATATGTCATGCAGGTTCTGTCATTGAAGGGTCGTGCTACATTACCAGATCAAGGCATACGTCATGCAGGTTCTGTCATTGAGGGGTTGTGCTATATTACCAGATCAAGGCATATGTCATGCAGGTTCTGTCATTGAGGGGTCGTGCTACATTACTAGATCAAGGCATATGTCATGCAGGTTCTGTCATTGAAGGGTCGTGCTACATTACCAGATCAAGGCATACGTCATGCAGGTTCTGTCATTGAAGGGTCATGCTACATTACTAGATCAATGCATATGTCATGCAGGTTCTGTCATTGAGGGGTCGTGCTATATTACCAGATCAAGGCATACGTCATGCAGGCTCTGTCATTGAGGGTTCGTGCTATATTACCAGATCAAGGCATACGTCATGCAGGCTCTGTCATTGAGGGTTCGTGCTATATTACCAGATCAAGGCATACGTCATGCAGATTCTGTCATTGAGGGGTCGTGCTATATTACCAGATCAAGGCATACATCATGCAGGTTCTGTCATTGAGGGGCCATGGAATGGCCTAGTAGTTCTAATGGCAGTTTGTCCAGCTGTAGGCCTGGGTTCGATTCCCTCTTTGACACACTGTGATAACACTGAAACACTGTCCACAGAGGTGCTAAACCCAACTCACTCACACACTGCATCAAACTTCACTGACAGTACACTCTGACTGACTCACTCTTACTTAAAAGTTTGTATTTTTTTATTCAAAGGTATTTTAACATGGTATTTTGAGATTGCATTCAATGTAATAATACAAAACTAAGAATAAAAACCTCTTCCTATTTTTTTGTCCTGAATCAGTGAAATATAGGTTACATCTACAATCCATAACAATTTATTAGTTACATATATTAATATGAATTTTGAAATTTTTAATTTAAATTTGGGAATTTTTAATGACATTGGCTGCAGACTTGGGCCGAGTATCGGCCTCTGAGCAGGTCTAGATAAATACCTGGTAAACATGGTAAATACGATGTGAATCGGTTGCCCCAATTGAACCATATGCACCCACCATTGATTGCATACTGCCCTGACCCGTCTAGACTGTTTATTAGCAATACTCTTTAAGAGTAATTGGATTTCCTATGGTTTTCATTAAGCTGAGTCAGTGGTTCATCAGATTGATGGCAGTGATGGCTGACTCAATGGAGTATACTCTGCGCAACTTGTCAATAACTTATTTACTTCACCAGGAACACTAGATGAGGTGATTAAGATGACATTACAGTACTCGTCACTCTGCTGAGCCTGTTATGGATATCACAAAAGTAATTGGACATTCGTTACAGATAATTTACGAGGGCATATCCAGTTACGTGTGCATTATTACTTTTAAATACAGCCTCAAGGTAACAAACTTCTGTGTAATCTGAGTTAAAAATACAGCCAGAAAATTTAAATAAATAAATGAAAATAAATGCGGCCAAACACCGTTGTGTCAAGTTGAAGGGACCTACGTGAATACTTCAAGTTACCCTCAGGTTCAAAACAACCGATGATGAATAAAGAAGGAATACACAGGGACCATGCTTTTATTTCGAGGCAAACTCAAGTTCAACAGTGTTTGACTACAACATAAATATACTGAATGGACATTTCTTGTAATCCACGACAATCCTTGTGCTTCGATGTCCATGCTGCATTTAAACTAACCCTTATGCTGGTACTACTTGTGTAGTTTGAGCAGTTTTATCATTGTAGCCGGTACATTTGTAATGCATGAGCTTAGAAAGAAGGTACGTAAACCGTCAATTCGCTTCAGATAATACAGTTGAAACAATGTGATGTCATAGCTGTATTTCAGTTTGGGATGGGGATGGTGTTACAGTATTCATCACATATCCTGGTGAATATGTCTGCTTCTCTAGGAGATGTTCTTGTATCCTGGTGAATATGTCTGCTTCTCTAGGAGATGTTCTTGTATCCTGGTGAATATGTCTGCTTCTTTAGATGTTCTTGTATCTTGGTGAACATGTCTGCTTCTCTAGGAGATGTTCTTGTATCCTGGTTAATATGTCTGCTTCTCTAGGTGATGTTCTTGTATCCTGGTTAATATGTCTGCTTCTCTAGGAGACGTTCTTGTATCCTGGTGAATATGTCTGCTTCTTTAGATGTTCTTGTATCTTGGTGAATATGTCTGCTTCTCTAGGATATGTTCTTGTATCTTGGTGAACGTGTCTGCTTCTCTATGAGATGTTCTTGTATCCTGGTGAATATGTCTGCTTCTCTAGGAGATGTTCTTGTATCCTGGTTAATATGTCTGTTTCTCTAGGAGACGTTCTTGTATCCTGGTGAATATGTCTGCTTCTTTAGATGTTCTTGTATCTTGGTGAATATGTCTGCTTCTCTAGGATATGTTCTTGTATCTTGGTGAACGTGTCTGCTTCTCTATGAGATGTTCTTGTATCCTGGTGAATATGTCTGCTTCTCTAGGAGATGTTCTTGTATCCTGGTGAATATGTCTGCTTCTCTAGGAGATGTTCTTGTATCCTGGTGAACATGTCTGCTTCTCTAGGAGATGTTCTTGTATCCTGGTGAATATGTCTGCTTCTCTAGGTGATGTTCTTGTATCCTGGTGAATGTGTCTGCTTCTCTAGGAGACGTTCTTGTATCCTGGTGAATATGTCTGCTTCTGTAGATGTTCTTGTATCCTGGTGAATATGTCTGCTTCTCTAGGAGATGTTCTTGTATCCTGGTGAATATGTCTGCTTCTCTAGGAGATGTTCTTGTATCCTGGTGAATATGTCTGCTTCTCGAGGAGATGTTCTTGTATCCTGGTGAATATGTCTGCTTCTCTAGGAGATATTCTTGTATCCTGGTGAATATGTCTGCTTCTCTAGAAGATGTTCTTGTATCCTGGTGAATATGTCTGCTTCTCTAGGAGATGTTCTTGTATCCTGGTGAAGTGTCTGCTTTTCTCGGAGATGTTCTTGTATCCTGGTGAATATGTCTGCTTCTCTAGGTGATGTTCTTGTATCCTGGTGAATATGTCTGCTTCTCTAGGTGATGTTCTTGTATCCTGGTGAATATGTCTGCTTCTCTAGGAGATGTTCTTGTATCCTGGTGAAGTGTCTGCTTTTCTCGGAGATGTTCTTGTATCCTGGTGAATATGTCTGCTTCTCTAGGAGATGTTCTTGTATCCTGGTGAATATGTCTGCTTCTCTAGGTGATGTTCTTGTATCCTGGTGAATGTGTCTGCTTCTCTAGGAGACGTTCTTGTATCCTGGTGAATATGTCTGCTTCTGTAGATGTTCTTGTATCCTGGTGAATATGTCTGCTTCTCTATGAGATGTTCTTGTATCCTGGTGAATATGTCTGCTTCTGCAGATGTTCTTGTATCCTGGTAAATATGTCTGCTTCTCTAGGAGATGTTCTTGTATCCTGGTGAATATGTCTGCTTCTCTAGGAGTTGATCTTGTATCCTGGTGAATATGTCTGCTTCTCTAGGAGATGTTCTTGTATCCTGGTGAATATGTCTGCTTCTCTAGGAGATGTTCTTGTATCCTGGTGAATATGTCTGCTTCTCTAGGTGATGTTCTTGTATCCTGGTGAATATGTCTGCTTCTCTAGGAGTTGATCTTGTATCCTGGTGAATATGTCTGCTTCTCTAGGAGATGTTCTTGTATCCTGGTGAATATGTCTGCTTCTCTAGGAGTTGATCTTGTATCCTGGTGAATATGTCTGCTTCTCTAGGAGATGTTCTTGTATCCTGGTGAACATGTCTGCTTCTCTAGGAGATGTTCTTGTATCCTGGTGAATGTGTCTGCTTCTCTAGGTGATGTTCTTGTATCCTGGTGAATATGTCTGCTTCTCTAGGAGATGTTCTTGTATCCTGGTGAATATGTCTGCTTCTCTAGGAGATGTTCTTGTATCCTGGTGAATATGTCTGCTTCTCTAGGAGATGTTCTTGTATCCTGGTGAATGTGTCTGCTTCTCTAGGTGATGTTCTTGTATCCTGGTGAATATGTTCTTGTATCATGATTAATATATATCTGCTGCTTACAGAATGTTCTCTCTGATATGTTCCAGCGTACATGTGTCATCATAACACATTCCTGATTCACTCGTCCCTGGAGAACCCAACAACTCAGAGATGGGGCTTCGTTACGCATTTCAGTGTCATCTTCGCCATGTTCATGTGCCTCGTTCTAGGAATTGTGGGATACCTGTCCTTCACCGGGTTGACGCAAGGTGAGTTCTCCATGCTCGTGTTCGTTTGCCTTGGGAGATTAGGTTTCCTCAAGGGCATTGCAGGGGACAATGCTTGCCCTTAGTGAAATCATTCCCAGTGAAACCCAATGTCCCCAATGAGGGCATTTCATGGTAGAATAGGTCCCGAGTGCCCATGCTTGTCTCATAGGGCATTTCAGGTGAGAATAGGTCCCCAGTGCCAAATGCTTGTCTCACAGGGCATTCCAGGTGAGAATAGGTCCCCCGTGCCCATGCTTGTCTCACAGGGCATTCCAGGTGAGAATAGGTCCCCGGTGCCCATGCTTGTCTCACAGAGCATCCCAGGTGAGAATAGGTCCCCAGTGCCCCATGCTTGTCTCACAGGGCATTCCATGGTAGAATAGGTCCCGATTGACCCATGCTTGTCTCACAGGGCATTCCATGGTAGAATAGGTCCCGAGTGCCTCATGCTAGTCTCACTATGCATTCCAGGAGAGAATAGGTCCCCTGTGACCCATGCTTGTCTCACAGGGCATTCCATGGTAGAATAGGTCCCGAGTGCCTCACGCTAGTCTCACTATGCATTCCAGAAGAGAATAGGTCCCCTGTGACCCATGCTTGTCTCATAGGTCATTCCATGGTAGAATAGGTCCTGAGTGCCTCATGCTTGTCTCATAGGGCATTCCAGGAGAGAATAGGTCCCCTGTGACCCATGCTTGTCTCATAGGGCATTCCAGGTGAGAATAGGTCCCGAGTGCCCCATGCTTGTCTCACAGGGCATTCCATGGTAGAATAGGTCCCGAGTGCCCCATGCTTGTCTCACAGGGCATTCCATGGTAGAATAGGTCCCGAGTGCCTCATGCTAGTCTCACTATGCATTCCATGGTTGAATAGGTCCCCTGTGACCCATGCTTGTCTCATAGGGCATTCCATGGTAGAATAGGTCCCGAGTGCCTCATGCTTGTCTCACTATGCATTCCAGGAGAGAATAGGTCCCCTGTGACCCATGCTTGTCTCATAGGGCATTCCAGGTGAGAATAGGTCCCGAGTGCCTCATGCTTGTCTCACTATGCATTCCAGGTGAGAATAGGTCCCCAGTGCCCATGCTTGTCTCACAGGGCATTCCAGGTGAGAATAGGTCCCCAGTGCCCATGCTTGTCTCACAGAGCATCCCAGGTGAGAATAGGTCCCCAGTGCCCCATGCTTGTCTCACAGGGCATTCCAGGTGAGAATAGGTCCCCAGTGCCCATGCTTGTCTCACAGAGCATCCCAGGTGAGAATAGGTCCCCAGTGCCCCATGCTTGTCTCACAGGGCATTCCAGGTGAGATTAGGTCCCGAGTGCCCCATGCTTGTCTCACAGGGCATTCCATGGTAGAATAGGTCCCGAGTGCCTCATGCTAGTCTCACTATGCATTCCAGGAGAGAATAGGTCCCCTGTGACCCATGCTTGTCTCATAGGGCATTCCAGGAGAGAATAGGTCCCCTGTGACCCATGCTTGTCTCATAGGGCATTCCAGGTGAGAATAGGTCCCCAGTGCCCCATGCTTGTCTCATAGGGCATTCCATGGTAGAATAGGTCCCCAGTGCCTCATGCTTGTCTCACTATGCATTCAAGGAGAGAATAGGTCCCCTGTGACCCATGCTTGTCTCATAGGGCATTCCATGGTAGAATAGGTCCCGAGTGCCTCATGCTTGTCTCATAGGGCATTCCATGGTAGAATAGGTCCTGAGTGCCTCATGCTAGTCTCACTATGCATTCCAGGAGAGAATAGGTCCCCAGTGACCCATGCTTGTCTCATAGGGCATTCCATGGTAGAATAGGTCCTGAGTGCCTCATGCTTGTCTCACTATGCATTCCAGGAGAGAATAGGTCCCCTGTGACCAATGCTTGTCTCATAGGGCATTCCAGGAGAGAATAGGTCCCCTGTGACCCATGCTTGTCTCATAGGGCATTCCAGGTGAGAATAGGTCCCCAGTGCCCCATGCTTGTCTCATAAGGCATTCCATGGTTGAATAGGTCCTGTGTGCCTCATGCTTGTCTCACTATGCATTCAAGGAGAGAATAGGTCCCCTGTGACCCATGCTTGTCTCATAGGGCATTCCATGGTAGAATAGGTCCCGAGTGCCTCATGCTAGTCTCACTATGCATTCCAGGAGAGAATAGGTCCCCAGTGCCCATGCTTGTCTCACAGGGCATTCCTGGTGAGAATAGGTCGCCTGTGACCCATGCTTGTCTCACTATGCATTCCAGGTGAGAATAGGTCCCCAGTGCCCATGCTTGTCTCACAGGGCATTCCAGGTGAGAATAGGTCCCCAGTGCCCATGCTTGTCTCACAGAGCATCCCAGGTGAGAATAGGTCCCCAGTGCCCCATGCTTGTCTCACAGGGCATTCCAGGTGAGAATAGGTCCCCAGTGCCCATGCTTGTCTCACAGAGCATCCCAGGTGAGAATAGGTCCCCAGTGCCCCATGCTTGTCTCACAGGGCATTCCAGGTGAGAATAGGTCCCGAGTGCCCCATGCTTGTCTCACAGGGCATTCCATGGTAGAATAGGTCCCGAGTGCCTCATGCTAGTCTCACTATGCATTCCAGGAGAGAATAGGTCCCCTGTGACCCATGCTTGTCTCATAGGGCATTCCAGGAGAGAATAGGTCCCCTGTGACCCATGCTTGTCTCATAGGGCATTCCAGGTGAGAATAGGTCCCCAGTGCCCCATGCTTGTCTCATAGGGCATTCCATGGTAGAATAGGTCCCCAGTGCCTCATGCTTGTCTCACTATGCATTCAAGGAGAGAATAGGTCCCCTGTGACCCATGCTTGTCTCATAGGGCATTCCATGGTAGAATAGGTCCCGAGTGCCTCATGCTTGTCTCATAGGGCATTCCATGGTAGAATAGGTCCTGAGTGCCTCATGCTAGTCTCACTATGCATTCCAGGAGAGAATAGGTCCCCAGTGACCCATGCTTGTCTCATAGGGCATTCCATGGTAGAATAGGTCCTGAGTGCCTCATGCTTGTCTCACTATGCATTCCAGGAGAGAATAGGTCCCCTGTGACCCATGCTTGTCTCATAGGGCATTCCAGGAGAGAATAGGTCCCCTGTGACCCATGCTTGTCTCATAGGGCATTCCAGGTGAGAATAGGTCCCCAGTGCCCCATGCTTGTCTCATAAGGCATTCCATGGTTGAATAGGTCCCCTGTGCCTCATGCTTGTCTCACTATGCATTCAAGGAGAGAATAGGTCCCCTGTGACCCATGCTTGTCTCATAGGGCATTCCATGGTAGAATAGGTCCCGAGTGCCTCATGCTAGTCTCACTATGCATTCCAGGAGAGAATAGGTCCCCAGTGCCCCATGCTTGTCTCACAGGGCATTCCAGGTGAGAATAGGTCCCCAGTGATCCATGCTTGTCTCACAGGGCATTCCATGGTAGAATAGGTCCCGAGTGCCCCATGCTTGTCTCACAGGGCATTCCATGGTAGAATAGGTCCCCAGTGCCCCATGCTTGTCTCACAGGGCATTCCATGGTAGAATAGGTCCCGAGTGCCCCATGCTTGTCTCACAGGGCATTCCATGGTAGAATAGGTCCCGAGTGCCCCTGCTTGTCTCACAGGGCATTCCAGGTGAGAATAGGTCCCCAGTGACCCATGCTTGTCTCACAGGGCATTCCATGGTAGAATAGGTCCCCAGTGCCTCATGCTTGTCTCACTATGCATTCAAGGAGAGAATAGGTCCCCTGTGACCCATGCTTGTCTCATAGGGCATTCCATGGTAGAATAGGTCCTGAGTGCCTCATGCTTGTCTCATAGGGCATTCCATGGTAGAATAGGTCCTGAGTGCCTCATGCTAGTCTCACTATGCATTCCAGGAGAGAATAGGTCCCCAGTGACCCATGCTTGTCTCATAGGGCATTCCATGGTAGAATAGGTCCTGAGTGCCTCATGCTTGTCTCACTATGCATTCCAGGAGAGAATAGGTCCCCAGTGCCCATGCTTGTCTCACAGGGCATTCCAGGTGAGAATAGGTCCCCAGTGCCCCATGCTTGTATCACAGGGCATTCCAGGTGAGAATAGGTCCCCTGTGACCCATGCTTGTCTCATAGGGCATTTCAGGTGAGAATAGGTTCCCAGTGCCCCATGCTTGTCTCACAGGGCATTCCAGGTGAGAATAGGTCCCCAGTGATCCATGCTTGTCTCACAGGGCATTCCATGGTAGAATAGGTCCCGAGTGCCCCATGCTTGTCTCACAGGGCATTCCATGGTAGAATAAGTCCCGAGTGCCCCATGCTTGTCTCACAGGGCATTCCATTGTAGAATAAGTCCCGAGTGCCCCATGATTGTCTCACAGGGCATTCCATGGTAGAATAGGTCCCCAGTGCCCCATGCTTGTCTCACAGGGCATTCCAGGTGAGAATAGGTCCCCAGTGCCCCATGCTTGTCTCACAGGGCATTCCAGGTGAGAATAGGTCCCCAGTGATCCATGCTTGTCTCACAGGGCATTCCATGGTAGAATAGGTCCCGAGTGCCCCATGCTTGTCTCACAGGGCATTCCATGGTAGAATAGGTCCCCAGTGCCCCATGCTTGTCTCACAGGGCATTCCATGGTAGAATAGGTCCCCAGTGCCCCATGCTTCTCACAGGGCATTCCATGGTAGAATAGGTCCCGAGTGCCCCTGCTTGTCTCACAGGGCATTCCAGGTGAGAATAGGTCCCCAGTGCCCCATGCTTGTCTCACAGGGCATTCCATGGTAGAATAGGTCCCCAGTGCCTCATGCTTGTCTCACTATGCATTCAAGGAGAGAATAGGTCCCCTGTGACCCATGCTTGTCTCATAGGGCATTCCATGGTAGAATAGGTCCCGAGTGCCTCATGCTTGTCTCATAGGGCATTCCATGGTAGAATAGGTCCTGAGTGCCTCATGCTAGTCTCACTATGCATTCCAGGAGAGAATAGGTCCCCAGTGACCCATGCTTGTCTCATAGGGCATTCCATGGTAGAATAGGTCCTGAGTGCCTCATGCTTGTC